TTACTGCAGAATTGCTGGTAGAGTGACAGTTGCCGGGGGACAGAAGTGTCTTAAAAAGTTAAGGGGGATATTTGCTAGCAGGTAATTGTTTGGTAAAATATCTTAAAGTAGAGCTTAACCAAACCAAAGGCAAAAAAGTTAGTCACACGATACTGGTATTTAATTTAATAAAATATTAAAGTTACTTGACCAGGGAGATAGTTCTCCAGTATGTTGACAACCTTGATCAAAAGATGGTGATCGCTGTGGGGTCTTCTGTACACAATTTCATTATATTCAGAATGGTGTTTGACCTCATGAAACAGAAACCTCATGGTAGACAACTTTAAAAAGCAATAGAGTCATTTTCCACAGGTAACAGGGAGTCCAGGGAAGGCAGGCCAGGACTGGAGCAGCTAGCTGCTCAAGGAACCAGGCTGCTCGCCACCCCCTCCATATGGCCTTCACCTCAGCATTGTTAGGTACCTTGTTGGGTTAGTGCTACCTTGGAGCACTCACCCAAGATCCAGGCAGAGAGAAGAGAAATGTCCAAGGGCAAAAGCTAAGGCAGTCCCAATTTATTTCTATTTCTGTTTTGTTGCAGTGCTGGGGATGGGACCCAGGGCCTCGCTAGGGAAATGCTCCACCACTGGTGGGGTGGGGTGGGGGGCAGGGGGTAGGGAGCTTGGCAGGAAATCTCATCTGTAGAACTGCCTCTAACTTTTCTTCATTAGAACTATGACACACCTTATGTCCCCTTACTGCAAGGGAGCCTGGGAAGCTAAAATTCTGAGATAGGCATGTGCTAGCCTGAATAAAATGGGGATTTGGGAAGGAAAAAAGGGAAAATAGGTACTAGAGAAGGAACAGGCAGTTTTCTTCCATCGTTGTCCAGCCAGCTGCCCTGCAGCAATGGAACAGGATACAGGAGCAGGACAGGGCTATGGATTGTTTACAGAGGCTCAATCTTGAGCTCCCTGGATGTTAGCAGAACAATTAATACTTACACCAACATTTCTGTGGGTTAAATCTTATTATTCAGATAAAACGCAGGACACAGGCTGCTTCTCAGTATCTGTCCAAAATAAAAAATCAAGTGTTGCCAAGGACACTAATAAATAGTACTAAAAATGGCACTGTGACTTACGTATATACTAAGCTAGTAGTTTTTGTGTCAATAAAATTAAACAGGCACAAAATATTTCTACACATATAATGCTATCCTATAAAATTACTTTATAAATAACATGTGGAAATTGAGAAAGCGTCCCCCATTTTTACATCAAATTCACAGCATTTAATCCACATTTCTGATTCTGAGATCCCATCACAGTGATTAAGCAATGAAATTCTGAAAACTGTTTTCTTATTGAACAAAGAAAATCAGAGAAGAGACAAGCTGAACTTCAGATTGTCAACTCCTTACACTGTCTACACTCCCACGAAACACAAAAATTTGAATAGTAAAGTTCATCAGACACCAATTGCAAATTTTAGTGACATTCAGTCAGTTGACAGGAATTTGTATGCAGGAAATACTCTCTAAGGGATTTCAAGTTTTGTGTTTCCATTAGAATAAGGAAAAAAAAAAAGTTAAGTCAGGCACAGTGGCTTAACTGCTTGCAATTCCAGCTACAGAGAAGTGAAGATCAAGGAGAATGGTGGTCCAAGGATAGTCTGGGCAAAAAAACTAGTGGGACCCCATCTTAACAAACACACCAGGTATGGTGGTATGTGCCTGTGATCCCAGCTATGGGGGAAACATAAATAGAAGGACTGCAGGTCAGGCAAGTCTAGGCAAAAAATGCAGTATCCTATTCAAAACAATGACTAAAAGCAAAAATGGGCTGGAAGTGTGCTCAAGTGGCAAAAATGCCTGCCTAGCAAGTGCAAACCCAAGTTTAAACCCCAGTTCAAAACAGCAGAATATGAAGAGAAATAATGAGTAAACTGAGTCAGTGCTTAATGTACAGGGAAAGGAAAACAAGCTCAAATGGAGCTGCCCTGAAGCTGCTACCACCCACCGTATTCACAACCTGCATATTGAGACTTTTTAAAAATAACCTCGGCTACAGTAAATCAGCCAGGTTCATTCGAACCTCACGGTTTCACCATTTTGTTTGTACTGAATTTTGTAAAGATGTTTGGTTTATAGTTGTATAATGGTTATAAACAGAAGGAGCTTTGTCCTATTTGATTTTTAGACTTATTTATGTAACATATAATCAAAGCAATTGAAAGCAATACTAAAATACCAAGCGACTGTCTTTCCTTTAAGACTTTCTGTACCACTCAAGCCTGAGAAACACTCTGCTACAGCTTTTTCTAAGATAATAGAGTAACGCCATCTCTTCCAAGCCACGTTCACATTCAACAACAGGTGGGTGCAGAAATACTTCACAGGTGACAATTCCTACTTTTTAAATTAGTAACATCATTCATTGGGTTTTTTTTTTCTAATTTTAATTCTTACCTTCAATTTTATTTAGACAAAATTTTAAGTCTTTATCACAAATTTGCTATATATGAGATATCTTATTCTCTGCAAAAGAAATAATTAAGAAAACAAAACTTAAGTTTCTGTAATCTTCTTTTCTCAGTTCAGTTGAAGGGGGTTGCTTTTGAAGATAGTAACGTCAAAGGTGTGACTTTGAGTTACGCTGTTTGGTTTGACTCATCCCTGAGACCAAAGTCCCCTTTGGGATGTTTTGCTGTGTGGATTTTTGATGGAATGAGTAAGGAGGCTGATTCAGTCTGGGATTAGCCTCATGCAGAGTAGAGGCCATGGGCAGGGAGGTGGCAGCCCAGAGAAGAGAGGGTTCTCAGCATGCCTAACCTTTTTGAAAATCTGCAGAAATCTCCAGGAGAGATTTGGACTCGGGTAGGACTCTTTTATGTTTTGTTTGGTTTGGTGGTACTGGGATTTGAACTCAAGACCTTCCCACTTTGCTAGGCAGGCACTTTACCACCTGAACTGTACCTCCAGCCCCTTCTGCTCTGGTTATTTGGAGCTAGGGTTTTGTTTTCTGCCCAGGCTGGCCTGGACAATGATCTTCCTATTTTAAGTTTCCCACTAGGGAAACTGGGATGGCACTTGAACCACCACACCCAGCTTTTGTTCCTTTGAGATAGGGGTCTCACGTACTTTTTTTTTTTTTGACAGGGAAGGAAACATTTCTGGTTCTCAGGGGCTGGGAGATCCCACTGATTCCAGCTCTGGTCAGGCAGGACTTTTGATCTTAGAGAGCTAACTACTGCCAGCACATCCACTAGTTTTTAGATTTTCCAACAAGATGTGAAAAAATGGTGAGTGCTTTTATCAACAATCAATAATATGTCGACTAATTTTTTTTCAGCTCCTCCAAAGTTACTGACTGGCAATACCAGTGTTTCTTGTGTCCTTTCTCTCAAGAAAACACCTTACATGGGACACATTCATGGCTTTCAAAATGCTGTTTGACCTTCAATGAGCAGCTTTCACAAATACAGCAGAGACCAAGTAAAAAGCTTAAAGATAATGTCACTGTCACTGATAAAAACTTCATTCTTGAGTGCTGACACCTGTTAGTTAACAAGCATGAAACCTTCTAGGTGATCACACAAAAGAGGCTCAAATAAACCGTGAGCCTTCCATGTTAGCTCCTTCACTCATAATCATCAGTATTAAATAGATTTTCTAAGATAGTAAAGAAAATCTAAAACACAACAAGAGGAAACTCTAGAACAATAATCTGACCAGAGTTTCACCCTCATGTCTGGTTCTTCCTGAGCTATTCTGATTTGTTTTGTTTGTTTTGTTTTGTTATTTTTAAAAATGCTTCCTTCCCTATTTGACAATACTTGTTGCATTTGCAAACTGGTATTAAAAATAATTGGAAGTCAGTAACTAAAATATACACTGCTTGCAACTGAATACCATAGTACATCTCTTGTCTGGAAAGGGTTCTTAAAGACAAGTCCCTAGGAGCCACAGCACCTTCATGGAACGTAGGAATTGGTAAGAAATGCAAATTCTTGGGCTCCACCCCCAACTTTCTGATGAGAATTCTCAGAAAAAGTCAATCAGCCTTTTACAAAAGCCTGCAGGCAGTCCTGAAGCAAAGAAAAGCTTGAGAATCACTGGCTGTAAGTGAATCCATTTATAATGTCCCAAGCCCAGCTCCTATACAGAATGACAGTTATAACACGATTAGTACATTGTTTATGACAATGACGTGCAAGTTTGATATAAAAGGAAATGAGCACTGTTTCCCTCATGAGCTAAACTCCATATGGTCCTGGATTACACAAATGGAGGAGTGGGAAAAGATCTGTTTAAAATTGTTTCAGTTAAAATGTGAAATACATAATAGCCATTTACATAAACATGCAGCCGGGCATATATATTCATAAGTATATAATCTATAAATACATAGCCATAGAGTCAGCTAAATTTTTTAATGTTTTATACCTAGTACATCACATCAACATTGTATTCCTCTAATGTTATGCTGATAAACGTAATTCAGACCTAGGGCCTGTGGCTGTGAACAAGCAATTTGTAGACTGGTTAGACTATATTTCTCATTTACTAATTATTTCATAATATAAAATTATGCCATCCAAAAAGTGGCCCTTCTAAATCATAGCTGGAACAAATCATGTCATTCTCCATCTATTTAATTACCCTAACTAGAGGCTCTCCGAGCAATAAAAGCAAATATTGCTTAAGTAGGAGAGCCATAATTTCAACTTTGCTTTTTATTTGAGTTATAAACGAAAGGTTGGTTCTCAGGTCTAAAGCCATTTGAAGAGCAGGATGAAATGTGTTGGAATCATTAGAAAAGCTCTCAAAACTGCTGGCTGCTCTTTCCATTAGGCTTCGATTTGTGTAAACTCAATACTTTTAGACACAACAGCTTTTTAAAGGCCATTAATAACAGGCAGTTCAGATGTGAGAACCGATGAACAATCTGCTGCCTTGTCAAGAACTATGTAAAAGCTGATTTGGACGCAATGCTCTGACGGCCTGTGGAGCCTACCTGTCTGCAGGTAAAGGTTTGGAATTCCGCGGCTTCTTCACTTGGGCGTACAAAGCATCCATCATGTGCCCTTCTCTTGGGCTCTGGGGTCTGGTGTTGAGAGCCACGGAACCTTCATAGGAAGACATTCCCCCGTACATCAACTCGTCATCACAGCCAAATGTCCGGTGATAATCTTGGATTTCAGCATAATCACGCTCTCGAGCCTGGCGCTCCCGAAATTCTCGAGTTTTTGCTTGGATCCTGTAAAATTAAAGCAAGGTTGAAATGAAACTATTCCTTTTCTAAGAACTGTAAACAGAAACATGCATCAATCAAACTATGTTGTAAAACATATTTTGGTTCATGCCACTAGAGGAAGATCAGTGGAATAAATTATGAGTTATATACATGCTAAGTAATGTCACGATGCTCAAAAATAATCATGGCAGATACCACTTGTTTCATGTCAATAAGACAGACTCAGAACATAAGCCTTAAGTTTAAATTCTTGCCTATTACATAACATTTAAAAAAAAAACCAGGAAAAGACAGCAACTGGCATCTACTTGGATATTAATTATGATTTTTTTCAGGTAAGAAGTGATTTATTTAAAAAGGTATTCTATATATGCATTGATGTGCATGTATACTATATATATATATCTTACTCATATAAAAATATAAGCATTAAACATACTATAAAGCTTAAACATGAACTCATATGTTAACTCTTCGTTAATGGCAAAAAAAGATCTTCGTTTAGTGACACTGGTTTTGATTTTATGTGATGCCTACAAAACTAGGAAATTCTGAGATTAAAGACAAGAAGGTATATATCTGATCAAACTCTAAAATAACATTGCCTGTGTTAAAACTAAAACCCAGGGGTGTGGTAGAGTTCCTGCCTGGCAAGGATTCAATCCCCAGTGCCACATACACAAAAACAAGACCCCCTGACATTAAGTGACCATCTTTACTGAAGCTATGTTTAGTTTACCAACATTTTATTAAAGTACTTGGTACAAAGTCCTCTTCAATTTATATTAATATAATTTATGCCCCAAATCAATCTTAGTTATATAAAAATAATTAAACAACTTTCAGTCAAATTTTGATAATTTCTGATGGAAAAATATTTTTACTACATACTTATCACATTTTGAAGTATTCACCTAAAAGCAGTGAGGTCTTGGAAGGATGGAGAAAGGGTGCCCTTGTGTGCTGTTAGCAAGAATGTAAGTTTGTGCAGCCATTGTGGAAAACTGTATGGAGGTTCTCAAAACATTAAAAGTAGAACTAGCATATGATTAGCAGTTCCATTACTGGGTATTTATCCAAAGGAAGTGAAATCAGTGTGTCGAAGAGACATCTGCCTTCCTGTGTTTATTGTAGCACTGTTCAAAACAGCAAAGATGTAGAATCAGCCTATGTGTGCAACAATGGATAAATTAATAAAGAAATGTGGTATGGACACATAATAGAATATTATTCAGCTATAAAAAAGATAAAATTCTTCCATCTTCCAGCATGGATGAATCTGGAGACATTATGTTATGTGAAACAAGTAAGCCAGACAGAACAACAAACACTGCACTATCTCAATTATATATGCAATTTTAAAAAAGTTGGTTTCATAGAAGTTGTGAATAAAAGCAGTGGTTATCAGAGACTAAGGAAGGGAAGAAGGAGGGATTGAAAGTGGTTCATCAGTGGGTTCAAAGTCATAATTCGAAAGGAAGAATAAGTTCTCATGTTCAATTGAATAGTAGGATGACCATAGTTCACAATGAGGTATAGTATATCTCAAATAGTTAAAAGAAAAGATTTTGAATGGTCCAATTACAAGGAAATAATAAATGTTTGAGGAGACAGATATGCTAATCACCCTGATTTGACCATTTCACAATGCATACTTGTATTAAAGCACCACACTCTACCCCTGATTATGTATAATTACTATATGTCAATTAAAGCAGTGAAGACTTATTTTATAAAACAATGTTTTAGGCTGATTTTAATGTCTTATTGAAAACTTGTTTATCTGTTTTTCATATTTGAAGTAGCATAAATGACACATAAATATGTATTCTAAAGAACCCAGAAAAGATACCAAACACAGATGGAGACAACACAATAAAAGGCAAGAGAAACTATAGGTCAATATTCTTCACAAACATAGAAGCAAGATGTCTGAAGAAAATATTAGTAAAAAGAATTCAACCAATTATACATCATGACCAGTGGTGTTTATTATATGAATATGTGTCTAGTTCAATGTTAAAAACCTAATCCTGATAATCTACCAATTCAACAGGCTAAAGAAGAAAAGTCATATGAGTGTATCAATTTTTTTGAGTGTCTTGTTAATACAGAAGGCATTGGGCAAATTCAAACACCCACCATGACAAAAAAAAACTAAAAAAATAAGGAATAGAGTGGGACTTCCCAAAATTCAATAAAAAGCAGCAACCAAAACCCTCCAGTTCCCACCATACATCACAGGGAATGAATGGATACTTCCCTCAGATCAGGAGCTGGCTAAGCACACATGCTCCCCCACTGTAATCCACACAGAAGTCTTAGCTAAGGAAATAAGAGGCACACAGACTGGAAAGAAAGAAATAAAGCCTTCTTATTTGCAGATGACATGTCGCGCTACACAGGGAACCCTACAAAAATCTCCGAGAGCCACAAAGCAAGTTCAGCAAGGTCACAGAATGCAAGATCAACACATAGAACTCCATTGAATTTTCTATTCATAGGCATAAAAACATAGATGCTGACATTAGTGCTTGGTGAATCATTTTTAGAAATGACACCAAAAGCACTAACTATAATATGTGTGTGTGTGTGTGTGTGTGTGTGTGTGTGTATATAAATTTAATGCCATTGAAATTACAAACTTATCCTCTGTGAAAGGATCTATTTAGAAGATGAAAAGAAGATGCAAACCACTTATCTAATGTCAGACTCATTTCTAGAATATATAAAAAATACTCCAAACTCAACAATGAGAAAACAATCAATGAGCTAAAAATATGAAGAGAAATTTCACTGAAGAAGATATACAGATAAGCACATGAAAAGACATTCAAGATTGCCTTTCCTTAGGGAAATGCAAATTAGGACCACAATTAGCTATCACTATATACCTACTCCATTGACTAAAATAAATTCACCTAGCTCCTCATTTCTCAGCAGTGGCCAGGGACATCTGGGAAGAGGCTGTTTGTTCCCAAACAGGTAAGAAGACCTTATTTCCTGAGTTGAGAACCAGTGCTTCCTTAGCACAAAGGAATATTGAAAAGTTAGGTATTTTATCAGGAGAGTCCTTGGTTCTGATAAATATAAGACCCATAGACAGAATACCCAAAAGAGATATTCTAATGTCAAATTTAGCTAAAATTACAGATTTTTTTTTTTTTTACTATACGCCATTTATCCATTTAAGAGCAATTGTGATAGTCAAGGATGCTATTTTAAAGCTGATTATCACTAAGAAGTGGATATTCACAATGGAAAGTCTATATGATTGAGAGTAATTTTATTCTTTGCACCATACTGTCGTTTTGACTCTGGATTCAGCCAGCAAAAAACTACCAAAAAAAGAGAAATGAATTCTTTCTTTAACTCAATGAGATTATTAATCTGAAATTTGACTTTTAATTACTTACTTTTTGAGACAGGACCTTGCTATGTAGCCCAGATAGCCTAGAACTCATGATTGTCCTCCCTCAGACTCCTGAGCACTGGGATTATAGACATGGCTACCATTCCTGGCTTTGAATTCACTTATCTGACAACCCATTTTATGAGTATATTTAGTCACCATCAGACAATCCCCTTATCATAAATTGTATCCAAGGGTCCGAGGCATTGACACAAGTCTTTAAGGTCAGGAACCTGATGAAATATGGATGCAAACAGTAGTCAAAATATAAAGACAAAGGTGAAAGTTCTGAATTTAGAGAACCTTTAAAAAGCAAAAGGGGCGGCTTAGATTGATTTATAGACGCCTAAACCCTATGGTGTGGGAGCCTGAGTTCAATAAGAGTAACAACAATCCACCTGGCATGTGTAGAAGGTGCAGCACCTTAGGAAAGGCAAACAGCATGGGGGGCGCAGACTTCTCAAGGGAGGAACACACCCAGGGCTTCTCCCCACACTACTTGGGTATCGGTGCCATCGTATTGCCAACTGCTCTCTTTTTCAAATTACACAGAAAATAATACTCACTGAGGCGGGGGTCAGCTTCTCAGAAGAGATGCTCAGCAGCACAAGGCACGCCTCATGAAGTTTTCACTGCTTTCTTCCACCCCGATGGTTTACTGTGGCCCACTGCCACATTGGATCCAATAAGCATTACAATCCCACCTACGACATCTATAAAACGCCAGTAATACAGGAAGTAATGTCTCCTTGCTCGTCTTGTCACCAATGTATTTTATCCTCAAAGTTCTGAAAGCTGTCTGTATCACTCCTTCCACCCTGGCAGCTTACACTGATGGTGATGGTGCCCAAGCTAGGATTACTGCTGCAAAAGGAGAGTCACTGAATCTGGTTTCCAGCCCCAGTGGATGTGCATTTCACAGTCCATTCTAGAAATCAGTGCTCAGGAGGCCTACTGTGCAAATGGCACAAGACAGCTGACTATTAAAAATGAGGAGTGCATTATACGTGTATGTGTGAGAGAGAATTTTGGTGACAATTCACAAGCCCCCAAAAAAGACAAAACTGGTTTCCTTTATTATAATTTTTTAGTTTTTGGCAGTACTGGGGGTTGAATTCAGGGCTTAGGAAAGCACTCTAATACTTGACTCACACTCCCAAACCTATTACTTTTAGCTTGTTTTTCAGATAAGATCTCAAGCTAACTTTTGCCCATGCCAGCCTCAAACCATGGTCCTCCTACCTCTGCCTCCCAAGTAGCTTGGACCACAGGCAGGGACCTTGATCCCTAGTCTCTTTATTATACTCTGTTATCCTTGAATGTCCTATTTATTACAAAACATTCATAAAAAGGGACTTTGCAACACTACTAAAAGGTTGTATTTGCATGTTACATACTTCCATTCTTTGTTGAGAAACTTATTTCAGAAAAAAATAATATTTGGCCTAGGGGAGAAAATATTTTCAGTGTCCCAATAAAAATAGCATGGTACCTTGAGGAAACTTTTAAAGAAGTGAGTGTCTTGCACTGAGCACCTAATGGTTCCAGACGGTCAGTGCTGTACCAGAACACCCCCTCTAGTCTTTTATTG